CCCCCAAAAAGAGAAAAATTGAAACTAAAGCTCTAGATCTTGGAAACAGGATTTTCAGTGCTTTGAGTCATATTGAAGCTTCAGATAACTCATACAACGTAAAATCATTGCTTCATTTCCCCAAGATAGGAAAATGGTTTGCAAATTGTTAGGAATTGTAAAGCTAGTAAAGTAAGTAAAAACTTACAGCTTAACTATGTTTTTCCCCCATATAGCTGTAAAGTGCAGGAATCATAAGTCTTGCAGTTCCTGTCACAAACTACCAGGGTGTGGCTGGTGTGACGATGGTTCTGGTACAGGAATAGGACGCTGTTTGGATGGAGGATCCAGTGGGCCATTTTTATCAAAAAATAGTATTATGCCTGAAACCTGTACAAACTGGTTTTTCATCAACTGTCCAGGTTGGTATGCTGTGGGTTGAGTTGAGGGGTGGGTTGTAATATGGTGTGCTATGGTTTGAGGTGTAGTTTTGGGTTGAGGGTGTACTAAGTGTGGTATGGTCCAGGTTGTACATCTGTTAGGTGTGTTATAATGCAGGATGTCGTGGTTTAGAATATCAGCAAGCAGTATCAAAAATCATCTGTCAGTAATCACTAATAAGGCAAATCATATGTTTCTTTAGCCTGCCAGTGCAATGGTCACAGTTCTTGTGATAGCAGAAATAAATGTATCAAGTGTCAACATAATACTAGAGGTATGCACTTTCAGTGATATTATACTTGATATTGCATACATACATCTATGTAGTTATTACACAGACTATGTCAATGTGCCTGACAAACACTGTCTTTGATGCTCAATCATCTGTTTATTTCTACCGAAACACACCATTGCCAGTAATGATCACACAACTAAAAAAATAATGTCATATATTAAAAGATTTATGTTTTCTGGAATTTCCAACAGCAGTAATTACTAAGAATCTGACCTCATGGAATCTCCTCAACCCTTGAAAATCTTACGTCTTTCTCTTCAAGAGGTTTAAGGTGGTTTGATTATGATAGAACTACCCAAAATAGATACGGATGTAGAATCTATCTTGAAATTTTCCCATATCTTTCTACATGATCTAATAAGTTTCCTATGTTACTCACCAGGACACCACTGTCAGTTTTGTATTGTTGGTTTCTATGGTGATCCTACCAATGGTGATAAATGTAAAGGTATATGCATGTTTCTACTGTGAACACCCAAAATATATCTGACTGGAATGTTTATTGTTTCTGGAATGTTTATCATTTCCTTACCAATTACATGCGAGGTAGATTGTTATTACTGAAGTCGACTGACATTTCAACTTATGACTTTGTTTTACATACTGAAAAAATATCTGCTTTTATTCACATAACAATTATATTCTAAGAAAACTTGAAATGATCATTCTAGTTTGGTGATACAATGATCTTTACCAACCTTTTAGTAATCTAAATTATCTCAGTAGAGAGGGAGGTACTGAGAGGGTATAAAATATTGGAAATCATACAAAAATATTGCTATTCAGAAAAGTCTTTTATGCTATCATTTGTCTGAGAAAGATCCTTTTTTATCAATTATATTCAATAATGTTCTTGTCTGTCAGAATGCTTGTGCAATAAACATGCAAAAGAATGTCATCCTGTCACTGGCAAATGCGATTGTCTGGTCAAAGGCATCCAAGGACACCACTGTCAAAAGTAAGTTGCTGAGATTTGTGTTGGTGATGGTGTTGTTGATGGTGTTGGTGATGGTAATGATGATGATGATGATGGTGATGTGGTAGTGTTGGTGATGGTAATGGTGATGGCAATGGCAATGGTGATGGCAATGGTGATGGTGATGGCAATGTTGTGGTGATGGTGATGGTGATGGTGATACTTATGGTGATGGTGATATGATGATTAGGTTGGTGATGGTGTTGGTGATTGTGATTGTGATGTTGTGGTGACAGTGATAGTGATGGTGATGGTGATAGTGAGGGTGGTGATGATGATTGGGTTGGTGATGTGGTTGCTGATGGTAATGATGATGATGATGTGGTGGCGTTGGTGATGGTGATGGTGATAGCGATGTGGTGTTGGTGATTGTGGTGATGGTGATTGGGTTGGTAATAGTGTTGGGGTCAGTGATGATGTTGGTATTGGTAATGATGATGGGGATGGTGATGGTAATGTTGATGATATACTGTTGGTGATGGTGATGATGATGTATTGATGATGATGGTGTTGGTGATTATCAATATTACATCAACATGAGATAATGTTGAATGGTTATATTGATATCAATATTTGCTATCTTACACCTGTATTGAAAAAATACTCAATGTTTCAGGTGTGTCGATCCATTTCATGGAAATGCATCCAATGGTGGATTGTGTTTTTGTGAGTATCTAAAAAAGTATTTAGTATAATATTACATTTTTAAAACAATAATTTTAGTTAAACCATTCTACCCAATATTTTCCTTAATTTTGATTGGATTTACCTCTAACTCTTTAAGAAACAACAATTCCAGAGGGCATCCCATCTCCCTATCTCTCTCTCTTCTTGACACACTGATATTAATGCCGTTCATCATTTTCTATCGTCTCAGATCGACTGCAAATCAATGATCCTATATCATTTAACTTCTCTGGAAAGACTAACATTAATCTTGAATTCAAACCAGTACTGGTAAGTCCTTAGGTTCTTAGGAGTATTTTTATATTCTAGATAAGTTGGTAGGAGCTGTATGGATAGGTCTAAGATAGGTGGGTTGTCAAGTAAGAGACTGACTCATTGACATATTTATTGGTGGGGTTTTGATAGTAGGGTAGATGATTGGGATTGAATAGTTGGGTAAATGAGTGAGTGGGTGAGCGAGTGGCTTGTTAACATAAAGTATTGAGATTTGGAAAGATCAGGAGTATTGAAAAGCTGGGTAGATGTGAGGGTAGGTGAGTAAGTAGTGACATGTTTATATGATATCATTATTGATTGATTGCCTGCTTTATATCGTTCATTACTCTTGATTAAATCTCTGTAGAAGGAGCACGATATAGAGTTCATGGTTGCCATTTCACACGGCCCACCTGCAAAGATTAATCTTACCTTCCTCATAAAAGGTTAGCGTCTGCTCCAATGACATGCATTCATTCTTTGGGCATTTTGGTAAAAACAGAATGTGCAATTTATCACTATCTCCTATCCTAAGGGTTTATATTTTGTTTTTAGATCTCAGGTCATCAACACAAAAAGAAAAGCTCATCTTTAAAGGCTACAGACTAGGGAAGCTAAACCAAAAATTTTCTCAAAGAGAATATGCATTCCACAAGAAATATGTGACCTTTAGAGCATACATCTACAATATTGACAAGAGTGCCCCTGTAACGATAACGGTAGGTCTGGATTATCATTCATTGACCAGATATTAAAACATTATGGCCTGGTTGTACGAAGGGTGGATAGCGCTATCCAGTGGATAAGTCGATGCTGATATCCAATAAATTTATCCACTGGATAAGATGTATCCATCGGATAGCATTCTTTCAGTCATTTATTAGTTCATTTGTTCATTCACTTGTTCATTTATGCATTCATTTATTCACTCATATATTTGTTAATTCATTTGTTCATTCATTCATTTTTTAATTTTTTTTATTCATTCAATTTCCCATTCATTTGTTCATTCATTTATTTATTCTTTTGTTCATTCATTCATTTTTTCATTTGTTTATTCATTCATTTTCCCATTCATTTGTTCATTCATTTATTTATTCTTTTGTTCATTTGCTTATTCATTCATTTGTTTATTCATTCATTGGTTCATTCATTCATTTGTTCATTTTTCATTCACTCATTCATTTTTCTTCACATTTTATTTTTTTAGGCAGTATTTACTCAGCCTTCGTCTTTAAACATTGACTTATTAGAATTCTTTCTGACTTTCTTTGGGTAAGTACGAGTACTTTACCAAGAAGTTAATAAACTCCAATATGAGGCAATCTGTCAATTATTTTGAGTGACCATTCCACTCCTTTGTCATCTTTATTAATAGTTTACAATGGTTAATAAGTAAATTATTAACTTATATTATTGATTAATATATTATTAAATTATATAAAATATTTGAAATATGGCAAGCACTCTGTTTGGCTGGCTACCTTGGTGACATTGGAGGAGAGACATGCTTGTGCAAAATGGTTTGAAATATTTTATAAAAGCAATTGAAATGGCTGTTTATGTCTCTGTATTGTGATATAAACACTCTGTGAGCTGTAGAGCACTCAAAAAGCAAGACGAATACTTGGCTATGTGTCATGTTCCTAAACTTGCTTCTCCTGTGCCCTATAGCACAGTACAGAGACATTGGCGCACATTTTATATTATTTCTTAACTAATGATATTCATGTAACTGATGTTTAGGTGCTTTCTGTCTTTGCTGTGTGTTGCTAGTATTGGCTGGAGGATCAGAAGTCGTTACCACAGTTATCTACTAACAAGGGTACTCCATTATTATTAATCATTGATCAAAAACGGTGACATTTGTATCCTAAACTCAGTGTGTATCCTTCTAAACTGACATTTTCATAACTACAAATGACGTTTGTATCGGGGTACAAGTGTCTTTCAATAATTCCACTGACTAAAGTTTTTCTTTCTATAATAACTTACAAATTTCTCGTGCACTGATTGGATATTTTTTATCATCAATAATAGGACAGGCAGATAAAGCTGACTTTAACAAGCACATGCTCTTTCTGTTGGTCGTTTTAATCACTAAAAATGCGAAGTTTTTATCTAAAACAATTAGACATCAGTTTTTTATGTGTCTGTCCGCCTCGTGAATCCCACTACTTTGACAATGTGATGACACAATTTATCGTCAATAAGAGGACAGACACATAAAAAACTGATGTCTATTTGTTAATTTGAATTTTAGCAAAATCGTGCAGAGAGGAACAGGATGGCAAATCGGCCCTTTGCAACAATCAATCTCTTGCTTCCAAATGAAATAGAAATACTCACCAAGGTTAGCACATTATTATAAATAGCATTTTTCACTGCTGACATCCCTATTGTGCATCATTGGATTGAAATGTGGACACGCCAAGCCCAGTGCACATATTAATATGCTGCAACAATGTTTTATTCGATTTTTATTGTCTTGTTGTTCCAATTTGTGAAAAAACTATGACCTTTCAATAGATATTAATATTCTTTCCTTATAACTGAAGCTTTTGTTTACGAAGTTTGTCCATGTATCGATCCCACAAGATTTTGCAATGTGTAATTCCAGAAATAATTATCCATACCACCCTCAAAGAAGAAAAGACCCCTACTTTCGGAAATTCCTTTTTTTTCCCATACAAACTCTATAATTTTTGTCCTTTCTCTGACCCCACCTTTTGGAAATTCCAAATTCCCCTGTGGGGAGGGTATGGATGATTTCTGCAACTAAACAATATCTTTTTTTAGTAACCCTGTAAAATGCTATTACATTACATCAATCAAAAAACAATAAACCGCTATAATCTTTTATTTTCATGCACAGTCTTCACCAAATCCCATCGCTATGGAACCCCTAGTTAAAAACAAGGTTGCCATAACAACTGTAGTAGTACTGCTACCAAGTGGTGAGGATGGCGCACCTCCTGTCGGACAATGTGGAATATGTTTTGCAAGTATGCTAATGTCTCACGGAAGCCATTCTCACTCAGGAATAAGAACACGAATGGGACGGAAAAAGAATAGAAAACGAGCTACTATGACAACTTACAATATTTAAAGAAGGCTTGGCTGATATGGATATCAGCAGGGATATAGATAGCGATAGCCAGATTTGAATCATTGCTCATTGGCTGGCAAAGAAGCACTGCTTCATGGTTAAGGTTATAAAGGATCAGAAGAAAGGAGTGTGATCTTAAGTCATAATTATTCTAGGCAATCGTTGCTGCACTGAAAAATAGATGCACAAGAAACTGGAAAACGCCATGACTGATTTTCCAAAAACGTTTGTGTGGTTATTGTTTAGTATTTGCAGCATCAGAACCTGCATAGAAGCATTGCAAGATGTCAGTCTTGTGTGATTTCATATCAAACATGGTCTGCAGCAATAGGAACTGCATACTCATCTTGGCCATTGAAGCATTGCAACATATTTTGATGGCTAAAAAGACATAAGCCATGGTGGAACTACATACAAACCTGATTTTATAACAAAATGGCCATGTGATGGAGAAAAGGTTTTGGATTTGTGGGATTCAGTTTGAAGTTGGAGCAGATGAAAATGAATTTTTCAAAGAAGAAATTACTGCCATGGTAGTTTAAAGTTGATGCATAAGTTGACTACATATTTTTGGTCACCAAGTATTCAGCTGAAAATCTACTTATATTTTTTTGATAAAAAATTGGGAATCGTTACATCAGTTCATCCTTTCATGGAGACTAACATTCTAGTTGCACATTAAAGTTTAGGTTAAATGTTTGCCGTTTCCAATCAAAAATACAATCACTCCAGAGGCTAATCGAGGATTTTGACTTGTTCATCCCATAACAGTTTTATCCACATTTTCAAGAAATTCCTGGTCAGAAAGGGGAATTCACAGGCAGGCATTAAAGCTACAAGGGAAACTACTTCCAGTTTACAGCTGTTAAAAACAAAATCATGTTCAAGTGCTTGAATGGTTTATTTATTTTTTGTTTATTAATAAAATTGCCAAAAAGTTAAGAAGTAATTACAATTATTTTGTAATTCATTTGAAAGGCTTGCACTATAAACTGTACACTTTAAAAAATTATGTTCTGGTCATACCAGCATGTTAGAACAATTAGTACAATTGTGAAAATGGAAGTACACATCAATATTAATGTGCCATTCACGCACCACAATTACCAGTGGAATATTTAAAAAATTTGAATTATGATTGGCTAGCAAATTGCAAGTCTATTAGTTATGGAGAAGATGAACAGAAAGAAACAGAATCTGTCTTGAACGTTTGGATAACTTATCGAAATTCTTGGTTATTTGTTGTTACCATTTTAATATTGCAAACCACGAATAGAGCACACAGTATAGAAATGTTCACACTGATGTCACCTATTGATATTGTGCCAACCATACAGAGCTCTATGGACACTTCTCAAAATTATTTCAAATGTGAAACTAAAACATGGAAACAAAATAAATGCAACAAATTCCATTGAAAAAAATTGTGGTTTATTTTTGGTGTTTTCATGCTAGCCTCTAGTCTCCTACGCAGCCACTATTAAAGATATGGTGCATGACAACACTAATAGCAGCTGCGTAGGAGACTAGCTAGCCTCGCATTTCAAGACAATTTTGACAGAGGTCCATTTGGCTACTGAATCAAAGAGGTCTTTTGGTAGGCAACTACCAAAGATTTCCGATGTCAATGCTTGTCAACCATGAATATTGCTATCCTAAGGGTTTCACAATCATACAAAAACTGTTTTATCTATGTTTATTTCCTTTGCTTATAATAAAATGTTTTTTAAGATATTGAATTTTAAAGGCCATATCATGGCATCGTATAATTATTTCTAACAGCAAGATTGAAATTACATTATCAATTATAAAACTAAAGAGAAAGGTGACAGTTAAATATTACTAAGCTTGCTTATTTTATTACCTGGAGTTGCTAGCATATTGTCATCAAGTTCAATAAGAAAGCAACAAAATGTGATACTGTTTGTTTATGACCATATTCTTGCAAAAATAAATATCAATATTGGTAATTACTATTATTGTTCTCAGTAGCACACACAGAATCATAGTTTCAATAAAACAGGTTTTAGTTTCAGTGAAACAGGTTTTAGTTTCAATAAAACAGATTTTAGTTTCAATAAAACAGGTTTTAGTTTCAATAAAACAGGTTTTAGTTTCAATAAAACAGGTTTTAGTTTCAATGAAACAAATTTGGATTCTGACAATGCCATGATTAATTTAACATCCAAAACGGCAAACTGCAAGACCAGATCAAGGGAGGTTTATCTGAATCTCTAAACCATGATTTAACCCCATAAATGACAACAAATTAGATCATCTTGACTTTTGTTTTTCAACATGAGTTTTTCTGTTAACCAAACTACAGTCCTTCCCCTGTGGGAAGCACGAGGTGGTGTGCGCTGCTAATGCGCCGCCTCTCACCAACGCCACCTCTCTCTTGTTTGTTGGTTCTCTCCTGTGCTTCGAGGGTTTTTCCTCCCGGTTCTCCAGTTTTTCCTCCCTCCACAAAAATGAACTTCTAAATTCTAATTGGATCTTCCAGCTGCCTCATCAATTGGGTTGCAAGGCCTGTATAGGCATTAATCTGTCGGAGTGGTAAACGCATTAGTCCTTTTTGAGTTTTTGGGTTCAGGGTGTGTGTTTTTTTGAGGGAGAGGGGGTTTAGTTCACCTATTCAAACCCCCTATCTAGAGAAACTCTTGTATCCACTCCTGAACTGTATGATTCTGTGTGTGCTATTTAGAACCACTGGTAATATTTCTTAATGGGTGACTAAAGAGTAAATAGACTTGCTTTACCAATAGTGTATAGTATTGTAAATATCAAAATAGTGTTGTTTATAATAAAAAATAGACCAAATTGAGAATCACTAAAGTTTAAAATAAAGATTTTATTTTCCAAAAACATGTCTCTTCAGAGATGCCTAGGAATAAAAATAAACTCCAATAAAAATAAAAATGGAACCCAGAACCCTTTAGGTGAGAGGATATTATTATTATGGTTGTTGTACCCAGGCATTGAACAAACCATTGTTTTTTGCTGACATCACTGCAGTGTATACAGTCTTCTTATTTAATACAGGATGGATCGAGAGGACCTTAAACAGAGCAGCACCATTGACGTTCTCTTGTCCTGTTTCATTCATAGCTTTGATGGCTGGATCACGTCTGTCATCTGAGGGGGGTGGGGTAGTCCAGTGGTCATAATTGGTCTCCACCAAAAACCATCTAAATTTTAGAAGACAATTTTGTTAAAAAAGACCTTCAGACAACCAGAGCGGATCAAAAGTCAGGGCATCRCTCAGTTTTAATTGAAATTTATCATGTTAGGTTTTGGTCAGGGAGAAAAACTGCATGGAGAAGCCAAAAAAAAGCACTTGACTCTAGGGAGAGATTAAACAAACTCTACTCACAAGTGATATAGAATCCAGGAGTTGGGGCCCAACACCCCCGAGGGGAGGCAAGTCTAATACCCACACTTTTTTCCAAGGACAATCTCAAGGAATTGTCATTTCTACAACAACATGCACCTTGCCTAAGCATGTACATACTGTTTTTTTTTTATGTAATATATATACAATATGAGCGGGAGATCTGTATGAGGATTCAAAAGAGCAAGCTGCAAGCGAGTTGTTTTAAACCTCATACAGATCTCAAGCGAATATTATATACTACTTTAAAAAGTTTAATGTCTAGATGAATGCTTCTTTTTTAGAGTAAAAATTTTAACATTAAACGTTATTTGGCCGAGATATTTCAAAGTCCACCTTATGCAAATCAGGACGAATTCTGCATCAGGGTTTACAGATGCCTTTACGGTAGTGATTTTGTATTGTTCTAAGGTCATTAATTATTCGTGATTTTTTAAATTTTATTTCCTCACTTCCAATTCACATTTCAAATTTCCTCTCTCTCTGCAGTAACTCCTTTCCTCTTCATGCTCTCTTCTCCACCAAGTGTCATTTTCTTTTTTAGTTATAATTCCCCTTCTCCTTTCCCTTTTTTTTTTTTTTTTTTTTGCCTTTTCTTTATTCCTACTAACCTTGTAGGAGGATCCAGTTTCCACAGATTAGCTACTGCAGTCCTGTCTCTAGTAATGACAGCACCTTCTCCAGGATTTATGCCTCCCACAATCAAATATGCATCTGCAATCATTGGCACCTTGGAAAGCAATGTAACAGCTTGGCTGAAGTTCATGTTTTCTGTAGCAGTGATTTGTCTGATCTCAAGCAACACAGGAATGGCTTCTTTCCTCAAGATTGCCATGATTAGATTCTCCCACAAAAACCCCTGGTCTCGCTCATTCAATGTGATGGTTACAGCCTTAGGTCTTTGTGCTGTCACAAGACCTATCATTCCAGCAAATACTACACCGCTGTAAACTGTCTTTCCTGTGAGAAGAAAGAACATAAAGCTTTAAATGTCAATTCCATTATACTGGCTTTAATCCCCATGTATTCCTTCTTTTTTTTATATATATAGTATATTCCTTTTATATTCCTAATTGTATATAGATATTATATTTAGCTGGGTCTCCCCGATTAGCAAAGTACGTGTGCCTAGCTAGAAGTTTTTGAAAGTGTATTAAATAAAGTTTATTATTATTATTATTATTATTATTATTATTACAAAAGAAAGTCATGCACTGTTGCGTGTTGTCGATAGAGTACCTCCATCAAACTGTAAGTTCTTGCATTTGAAAAAATCTGAATTTCTCCCTAAAGATTTTTGTGTTCGCTAAATATATATCAATTATTACATAATCTCTTGAAGTATAGACAATCAAAGCATTCCTTTACTCGTTTAACATTAATATTCACAATTTCTGACAAGTTAATCAAGTACTTTATTTTATAAATACCGGTACCTTTGCTTCGAAAGTCAACCATAAAAGTTAGCTTTCGCAGATCAGCAGTAAAGTGATAATCCAAATTTCTAGCATGATATATGTTGCCTTGAGTATCTTGCGCGACAATGCTGGTGCAAAATGCACTGAAGTCGTACACCAAATTCAAGAGAACAGCATTACTCAAACTGATGTTCAAACCAGATGCAATCCCTCTAAGCTCGTCTGGATAAGGAGCCGGGAAATATTTATCAAGATAAAGAGCAAGTCGGTCTATCAGAGGAAGTAGAGGTTTAGGGAAGAAGTTTTGAACATCTTTGATAATAGTTGGAGTATATTGTCTGTATTCCTGCATAATTTTCACCCATCGTTCTTGCGGTGGGAGGTCCAAGTTAACAGTGAAACGTTTGGCTTGAACTGGCTCTGAGGAAGAATAAGATATGCCGAGAAAAACGACTATTAAAGAGAGAAGGATCATTTCTACAGCTTTCCCAGAGGGAGTCGTATGTCAAACTTGATTGATGTTATACATATTAGTACAATAGGGTCATATGATTTGTGAATACGTCACGCACGGAACTAGGTCTAAAAAGCGAATGGGCCACCCTGGTTAAATAAAGTTTACATTTACATTTACAAACTTTGATCTCACAGAAGAAAGATAATTTTTTTTTGAAAATTAATTTGATGTTAGAAAAAATATCCTGAAATGAAAATAAATAAGAAAAGTCACGTGTTCCAGGTTACTTTTAAATGGCTTTTTTACGTCACGGGGATTTAAAAATTCGACGAATCACAAAGAGGCGCGAGATTCAAATGTCTTAGTTACAGAGTCAGTTGAGATTAAACTCTTCTCTGTAGAGACTTTCTTTACATCGAAAAATTTGCTTGATCCAACTCCTTCTTTGATCTGTTCAGCAATGAGTTTGTTTAGGAAGTCCAAGAATAAGAAAAACAAAGAGAATGTGCCAGAGAATACGCGAAGCGCTATTCTAAAGCTGAGAGAAACGGAGCAATTGTTGGGGAAAAAGCAAGAGCACTTGGAGATGAAGATTGATAAAGAAGCTGCTATCGCTCGAAAGAATGCAAAAACCAATAAAAGGATAGCTCTTCAGGCTCTTAAGCGCAAGAAGAGGCTGGAAAAACAACTTTCTCAGATCGATGGAACGTTATCGACGATAGAATTCCAACGCGATGCGCTCGAAAGCTCGAGCACAAACAACGAAGTAATCAAAAACATGGCTTTCGCTGCTAAAGCATTGAAAGAAGTTCACAAACAACTCGATGTAGATGATGTTCACGATACTATGGATGAAATAAGTGAACAGTCGCAGATATCTGAAGAGATTTCTCAGGCAATAACCTTCGTTGGAAGCCAAAGCTTCGACGATTGTGAGCTCGAGAAAGAGCTTGAAGAACTTGCCCAAGAAGAAATGGAGAAAACACTTTTACAAGTAAGAAAGCCAGCTGCCACGAGATTGCCAAGCGTCCCCACTTCTCGTCCTTGTGCAAAACCAAAGAAAAGTTTTGAAGAGGATGAATTTGAAGAATTAAAAGAGCTGGAAGCGTGGGCCTGTTGATGGGATAATGTAGGCTTTTGTAATGTGTAAGTACATAATAGACCTATAAAAAGATGAAGACATCAGGCACAAATTAATTCAGATAAAACAGATTTTGTTTTTACTTTAAAATATTGCTGTCCATATTGCCAATAAATTAGTTTTCAAATTTATGATAATTTTGAAAAAAAATTAAAGTGGATTATAAAAGGCCTTTGATTTTTATTGGGAAATCCTATAAGAATGCATCATGGGGTGGATTGGGGAAAAAATTTGTCAGAGCATAGTATTAAAGGATATAACACTACTTGCTTTGTTTCAGTGATGTGTGCAGGAATGCCGCCAGAACAAAGTATGTTTTGATGGATGTCCTGTTTGTCCTATTGTTGACGATATACTGTGTCATCACACTGTCAAAGTAGTGTGGATCCATAAGACATAATAGGCCATTTCACGGATCCCATTACTCAACCTCTGCCTCGTCAGCGTGTAATTATTCTTTAGAATTTGACTACAGTCCGATGTAATGAAAGGAATTTACACAACAACGAACGATTGAAACACTTAAAAATTTCACAGGTTGTAGGCAATTTCTAAAGAATATATTACACGCTGACAAGGCTGAGGTTGAGCTGCAGGATCTGTGAAATGGTCTATTGACTTGACATACATCAAAACATACTTTGTTGTGGCCGCAGTCATTGAAAACAGCCATTGATTAGGCCTTTCCCCAGAGAACCATGTTCATAGGCCATTATCGATTATTTTACTATGCTATGCTGTAAACGAAAGATTATATTAAGATATTTTGATAAAATTTTAATATGAAGTATGAAGAGTTCTTGTTTTAGGTCTTAGAGTGAAGTCACTAAACCCGTGAAATAGATATGAGACTAATACGCATTAGTTAAATACATTGCCTTCACTCTATACTTGACATTAAATCTGTTAACATATAGATCTAGAATAATAATATTGGTTCTGAATGTACATTAATTACTGTTTTTTTGTTATATGAAGTTAAAAGGAGTGAGGAAATAAAGTAAATTGATAAATAGATAAATTACTTGTGTACTAGTAACATTTGCTTTATTTAAAAAAAATAAACACATATAAACAAGCAGGAGTGTTTTATGAGGTTTAAAATCATGAGTCATAGCCTGCAAATTTATTGAACTACTTCAAAAACTTAGATATTATTCACAATTAACTTTTAAATCAGAGCCACCATATACATCAATGTAAAGAATCTTCTGATCTTTTCTCTTTTCCTGTGCTCTTTCCTATATTCTGGAACATTTTGAATTCAAATTTCATTCTTTCTTGGCTTGTTCTTGTCTTTCTATTTTCTTTTTTCCTTTCTCAGTTCCTTTCTTTTTCATTGCCTGCTTTCTTTCTTTCTTTCTTTCTTTCTTTCTTTCTTTCTTTCTTTCTTTCTTNTTTCTTTCTTTCTTTCTTTCTTTCTTTCTTTCTTTCTTTCTTTCTTACAGACTATCCCCGTATCTCCCCTCCCCTGTTCATATTAATCACCCTGTGTGGTCTGGGCTCTAGAGCTATCATCACCAGTGTGCAATGCGCGGTAAAAATATCTTCCTAATTTATCCTAACAAAGCAAAAATCAGTCGGCCAAGATACATAGTCTTATATATCCTGCCTATGACGGAAAAAAGATATTCTTTAGTCGAAGGACAAAACTTAGAGTGATAATTACTATTTTCTTTACTCTTTCTTTACTCAATATTCTAAATGACTTCAAGCAGCGCGTGAACTTCAATGCAAGACCCACTATTGTAGAGACCTTCAGAGCAGGTACAAGCCTTTATAGCTCCACTTCTCTATCGAAAGAACAAAAGCAGCACTTAACAGATGGATTTAGAAGAGATAGCCAGCTACTGGGCTCGTTTTCATATATCCTTTTCGTGGGATTATCCAGAAGGACTTGACTTACAAGCCGTTCAACAAGCTGTCTTCCACGTTGTTGGTGAATCAGATGCTAGGTTAGTTCACTCAAAATTCTTATCTGTTGTGAATCGTTTCCTAACATACCGACCTCCAAAACGAATAATTACGTTACTTATACTACCAGTGATCTAGGTTTCTTCTAAATTCCCCTAAATTTCGTGAAAGACACTTTAAGTTCTTCGACTTTAAATTGTTCTTTGTTTTTCGACTGTTTACCAGTAAATTGTCTTTATTTATTTGTTATTCTCTTTCTTGTGTACAAAAATTACTCAGCTTTATTTCTAAGCCTGAGCTAATCTGTCGGCGAAACTTTTCTTTATATATATTTTTTTTTTTTGAAAGCTAGAAAAACGAACTAATATATATATATATAAATATTCGAATCTTGATCAAAACGTTCGATTTGGAACTACATTTGATTAATGGCACAGCGATTGGCAGTAGAGAACACGACAAACAAGACATTAGGGGGTATTCAACATTATTATGAACAACGACACGCAAAGAATTCGAAATTTAAACACGGTATTATCCGTTCCTCAGGCATTTCTTTAGATAAACAATCTATTTTCGTATGGCATTGTCGATTAGCTCATACCGGTAGTTGTTGGCTAGTGTTAGATGGGTAGTTCGCGATAACCTTTCCGTCAGATATTTTAATCTCAAAGTCAATACTGTCTTTCGGGCATGATTGAATATAAGACAAGGCGTGAAATTGTTATCTTGAATTGACTTTTATTTACAGTACTAATAGTGGTTTAGTATTACATAATTACTTGTTCAAGGAATTGAATTCTTTTCAGACTTGTGACTCAACTCGTGACTCAGGTAATAATAAGTCACAAGTCTGAAAAAAAATGTTTTTCGTGAAAACAGTAAAGTGCATGCGATACAGCGAATAAYGTATTGCACAAAACTAACGGACAGGTAAAGTTATCCAGTGCTTTGAAGTTAACAGTGCTTTGTCTGTGCTTTTTCATTGGACGAACATTAATTGCACATGCTGTGATTTTTTTATTGGCACAGTGGATGTTGTAAATTCTACACTGTGACCTTACTATGTGTTGTGCCCTTTTACTTTCAACTTTATCAACTCTATGCAGTTATAAAGCATGTGGAGATTGATAGAACTTCAGAGAAGTGTTAGAGAGAAGCATAAGGCATAACAGAAGAAGAATAGCTGTTATTTTGGATATGAAAGATGAAATAGGAAGTGCATGCTCCCTCCCCAACTATCAGTATATGAGAATATATTATAACAGTTTTCTTAGAAATGACTAAAAATATGATCAATAATGTTTATTATAAATGACTAAAAGGAGTGTCTAACTAACCACCTTCAGATCTCAAGACCAGCTAGTGGTTGGAAGTGTGCAGTCAGCAGGTGCTGGGGTCATATTGACCCAGCCTGTCCCTGTGTCGGACAATGTCCCATGCGAAATGAGCTTTACTGCTCATCCTATGTCTGACGATTTTTGCATCAAGGATATTGTCATTGTGTCTGAAGCAAGGAATGTGGAACTGTATGTGGATAATAGCTATGCAAAAACAGCAAAAGGAATTATGCTTACAATCAAAAAGGGCAGGTATGACATATGGTTTCACATAGAGTGCATGCAGTAAAACCATGAAATAAAAACAAAGTTGATACTGACAAAATAGTAGTTATTTAGTGACTAATAATTGCTGTAACTCAACCAGAACAATCAATACGCAAAAGACAAATACACAAGAGACCATTTGTGTTTTGTGATACGAACTATCAGTCACTAAATGGCTACTATTGGTCAGTATCAACTTTTTTTTTATTTCATGGTTTTACTGCATGCACTCTATATTAGTAAAAATAGTTATTATTAATTATTTTTTCATTTTTGGCAATGTTTATTTCCATAAGAATAATAACCTTTGTTTAAATGTGCCCATGTAAACTTATCCTGAAGTACTTGAATGCGAGGTTATGTGGGCAAAAATCTGTTAAAGTCAACATGGCTGCTGCATAAGAAAGTCCATTTACAAAATAATTATTGTTCAAGAGTAACTTTTTTTCCCTTGTCATAACAGAAAAGTGGCTCTTTTTGAGACAGAGTTTGACCTCTCTGAATACGTTCATGGGAAGTGCAAGTGTGCAGTCAAGGTAATAATGTTGTATTTCCAATAATTTAAAATTTGTTCGGCTATACTTATCATAAAATGATATTAACTTCATTTTTCTTTGGTAATAGTTTTTGTCATTTCCAAATATACATGCACTAAGAATCCAGACGATTGTCGTCAAAGTGGCAAAGAAAACACCTTCTCTACAGCAAAGATCAGATATTTCAGCCATGCAGGTAAGTTTGTTTGGGACTGTGTTGGAGTACTTCGTTTGGTCTTCAATATTTTTGTAATGTCAGTCAACTTGGAGACTACACATTTTATTATTTTTAATCATTTTTTCTGTTTTGCTGCTGTGGCTTCTGAGTAAGGCTGTGTTTTGGTTCAAGCCCAAGATGGAATGATATGGAATTCCAGAGGGGGGAAGGGCCGCAATATGCATGGAATTCCTTGGTTAGGGCCATCGAAACATTTTGAATTTTCCGAAGGCAATGGAGTTAAGAAAATAGATACCACCCATGGTAGGCATATGGATATTTTCTGGAACTACCTGTTCACTGAGAATAACACACAACATTAAATGAGCTGATGAACTTTTATGTAACCCCCTAGCCTGAATGACGTTATCCAGGGATTGGGGAGAAGGAGAATGGAGATAGAGAGGGAAAGGGAGGGATCCCTAAAGAGCCTCGTTCACAGGCTAGTAACCCCCTTTGGAGAATATGTCATTTAATGCAAGAATTCAAATTTAACCTTGAATGTTAATGGAAGGTTTACAGATGTACTGAAGGTTTGTTGTATTTCCTGCGTTGTTTTTTTTACAGAGTCTCATACCTGGTGCTGTTGATCTAACTGTCGTAAAGGAATTCATCAAAACTTCAGGCAAGGAGCTGACACCTGAGGCTGAAAAGCTACTAACATCATTGGAACAACTACAACTGGTATGTTATTCTATGATTTTATATCTTTACTTTAAGAAAGGTGGCATGCACTGCTACAGTGCTGTCTCTCGCCATTGTGCATTCAGGTCTGGGGTCACTGGTTCAATCCTCAACTATACTGCATAATGTAAGTTGAGTTTGTTTGAGGCATTGTTGGCTTCCCATGAGCGTTTCTTACTAGATTCTCCAGTTTTCCTTCCTTCCAAAAAGTTAATATCTGAGTTGAGTGTTGTAAATAGTAAAATGTTGAGTGAACACTAGTAGAATCTAGTCACGCTAGTCACACTAGTCATACTAGTAACACTCAGGGTCTTAAAATAACTGAGAAGGTTCTGTCTTTTTAATAATAGCTGCAAATGGTTAGACCTGCAAGTCTTCTCGGACAAGGACTTAAAATCGTAGGCCCTGTCTCTCAACCCTTCCTAACCTGTAAAGTGCATTGAGACCATGTAAAGTGCGCTATATAAGAACCTCCCATTATTATTATTTCCCATTAGAATGGTGTCTGGAGAAACTAAAAAATAATTATGATCACCCCATCATTTCCCCAGCCTTGATTGCAATCTTTTTGTTCTTGATCACTCAACCCAGAATTGAGGCTAAAAGTAATGGTTGCCCAGTCACTGATTGTAGTGCGAGGCTTAAAATAATGGCAGGTCATTGGACAATGTCTGGCCATAAATTAAACTGGTCAAAACATTTCATTGCCAATCATTTTGGCCAGTAACATTGAGCCAGAAACAAGGTATGACTAAGCTAAACCTAATTTGGCAGCTATCGTGACTGGCGACTGACGAGCTTTATTTTAAGCCCTGTGATAACCATCCAAATTAGCTTTAGCTTGGACATACTTCATGTCTGGCCTAACAATACTGTTCAAAATGATTGGCAAGACAAATATTTGACTGAAAAAGTTCTGATTCTGGCTGGACATTTCCCAATGGCCTGCCATTACTTTTAGTCCATATTGGGCATTTTAACTATAATTAAATTTTTAGTGGATGTATGGATGTTATTTGGTTACTTTGTACAACATCCTGCGGCTTCAGTAACTCTTTTACTTATTCTAGGCCAAGAATGTCCAGTTGCGTCAGTCCCGTCCAAGATCTCACAGTGTAGACGGACAAAATAAATTACACCAGGATTTTGAGCTGCCTCAACACAGGTTCAGTGTAGCAAGTGATGGCAGCCTTCTGCAACAGGCTATTATCAGGGCACGAGAACTGGAGGAAGAGGAGCAATACAATAAAATGGGTAAGACTTATCTGTCTGTCTATCCATCTGCCTGTCTGTTTACTTGTCTGTTGTTGCTGTCAGTTCTCAGTAGGAGTTTTCTCTTTGTTATTTAAATCATTTCTAATATTTTTCAACTTTTTAGGATTATATATTTATATTTTATTAATCAATAACAACTTCCATGTAAAGAAGTTTTATACTTATGGAACTATCGTTTTCAAATAAAGGTGTGTCTGTCTGTCTGTCTGTCTGCCCATCTATATATGTCTGTCTGTCTGTCCATCTCTCTGCCTTTCTGTCTGTCCATGTGTTTGTCTATTTCTGTCTGTTTGCATTTCTGTGTCCCACTCCTCTCTGTATTTGTTCACCTGTCTGTTTGTAATCTATCTGTTTGTGTGTTTAAGTATCTCCGACTGTCTCTTTTCTTGTCTGTCTGTCCATCTGTCTGGTTGTCTATATTACCCTGAAGTATTTCATCTGTGTTCCTGCCCTTCTGTCTGTCTCTCTGACTGTCTAACTGAGTTTGTCTGGCTGTATCTTTGCTTGTCTGTCTGTACAACTTACCACGTGTCATTTGTCATTTCTGTATTCAGTTTCTCAGAATCCAATAAATCATGTTAAAAATATCCTTTTTGATTCATTAGGGCCAGTTGGGAGCCCAGAAAGTGATGATGGATATGTGAACATGTTAGCTGGCTTAATGATTAACAAAAACAACCGGCGTGAGAACGGCCCTTTGCCAATCCACAATGGAGAGGCAATCCCCAATGGTGATGGGCATGCTGATATGCTTGCCCAAGCACGATGGGAGGCCTATGTGCAAAACAGGCTTCGGCCCACTCGACAGGTAGAACAAAGGCCAAGAAATGCATCTTTTGTATGTAGTACTAGTACCCCCAGCCTACATGTGCAGGGAGGCCATTGTTATGATGAGAGAGAGGCACTCAGACACAACATGGACTCCCCGCCCTCCCCTCCCTTACCTCAAAATTCTAATAAAGTATCATCAGCACCTGAACTTGGATCAAAATCAAGGTAAGTCAGTGTACTGTATTTGATTTCGTAAACTGCATTAAAGCTGCGCTTAAAGGAATCATAGCACACACCACTGCACATTTGTTTCATACAATGTTTGTTCAGCAATGTGTTTATTGATGCACCCACTTCCAATCCATTCTTTCACTATTGCTTATACCTCCAATCTATCAAGCACCCAGCCATTCACCAAACCATTCATCCATTTACCTATCTATTCAACCACCCACATCCACACATCTAATCCACTGTTCCACCCACCTATCACTCATTTACCTACCCTCCCACAACCTACCGTACTCCAACCTACCCTACCTACCCTCCCCCAACCTACCCTACCTACACTTCCCCAACCTACACTTCCCCAACCTACCCTACTCCAACCTACTCCCCTCCCCCCAACTTATTCCACCTATCTTTCTACCTTTCCAAATACACTTCTATCCATCTATTCATGTAACAGTCTTTTGAAAGAAGGAATAGAAACTCGAGAATCACTTGCAAGCGGGATGGACGAGAGGAACTAACAAATAAACAAAATTAAAAGCAGCTTTTTTTACAGGTGCGTATCATGCGGTTGCCCCGGATGTCTGTCTGTCTACAACTCCATAGCAACCACTATTTATGCCACTGAGGAAAGAATCATGGCAAAAGTCGAGAACAAGATCCTTCATCTTCAGCGGCATATTGATTCCCAGTTTGACGCCCTCTATCAAGCCTTACAAACAAAACCCGAACATTTTAATGCTCACAATCAAGGAGGTTTACCAAGCCGGCGAAGAGGTTCGGCTAAGGTCGGGGATACTTCGGTGTAACATCGCGCCATGGTCGGGGATTTTTCTGTATAATATCCATCGCAGTGCTAGACATTTTTGAAACCAAAAGCTGCTAAACCTATCAAAGCCTTTAGAGCAAAATGAATATTCGGAATGAATTTCTAAAAAAAAGGAAAAAAGGCGTCGAGGATATGAGAGCTTCTTAAACGTAAAACCCTATCGTAAGGAAATATAGAGTCAGCATAGAGTCCATTCGAACGAGCTTCTAAGCAGAGAAGGCCAAGGGACCCAAATTGCCAATATTTACTAATTTCATTCATAGCTGAATGTTTCCTGCTTCCGTATTTCTTTGTCATTTCTTCTTCTCTCGAAGTCTGTCGCGGACGATTCGGTTTCCGAGCATCCGCCGAACGTTTCCGATGCCGAATCTTTATTATCAGATTAACTACGATGTAAACGATGGCGTATAAAATAAGAATCACGTAAAAGAGATGGATAAAGTCAAAACCAAGAAAACTTGGGGGTATCCTTAAAAAATCTAAAAATGTGCGAACATTCTTCTTAAAGTACTGCTAAACTCGAGCAATCTGGATTTTTTAAAATTGTTTTTAATAACGCTTTTAAGGAATAAATCGTAACCATTATGAATTTTGAACAAGTGGAAATTTTTATTTTACAGTAGTGTAAAATAAACTAAATAGAGTGCATATACCAGATATTCGTGAACAAATTTGTAAGAAATTGCACAAATTTGCACAAATTAGTAAGTTCAGTAAACCGTAATCTTACAAAACTTTGCATAAGTTTGTACAATTTTTCACGTGTTTGATAGCTACATGGATCTTGGATTACACGTTACGTCATCGCGGCCATGTTGGTGCCATTTAACAAAAGATTTCTCATTAGGATCCATTGTTGACGGCACCACAATGGCCGCCATGTTTTGACTCTAGTTGGGGATGCTTGCAATCCATCAATGATAGATGGTTTGCTCTCTGGCAAATCAAAACACACTATAATTCAACCAATCACAGTAGCTAGACTAACGAGTTTAGCCACATGCTATCGCTTGTTATTTTATCGGCATAAATCTAAAAAGACGTCTTAGAGGAATTATGTATGAAGTGTAAGTGATAAAAATGTATCATAATGCGATTGTTACACATTTAACTCCTTCGCTTCTGTTTGGCCGAGAACGCTTAGCCAATCCTTGTCTCCTCTGACAGCAGCCGTTTTTCGTATCAGCTAAAGTTTTCGATACGAAAAATGGGTGCTGACTAAGCAAATCCTACCTTGCGAGAAGAGTCTCCTTTTAACTCCTCTACGGGCGAGAGAGGAGTTAAAAGGAGACTCTGCTCGCAGGGTAAGCAAATCCATGATATCGTGTATTTTCTGTGTTTTTTTGTTGTTATTTTTTGCGAATAATACATTTATCACGTCTAGTTTACTCAAGGTCACGATACAGACAGAAGTACGTTTGTTTTTTGTTTTTGTTTTTTTTCGAGAGCAGAATTGAATCTGTTTATAAAAAGTATAATACAACAATTATTGAATTCAGTTTTCGCGTGATAAAATGAGAGCATTTAACCCGTGAAATAAAAATTATTAACCCGTGAAATAAAAAATATTTGTCAACATGTCATAGTCAAATAGACGCAAAAGAAAACAATGGAATTAGGGTCGTGTTTTAGTCTAATATCTATTTCACGGGTTTAATGACTTCAGTCTATCGTAAATTATCAAGACTTTGGCTTTTTCCGCTTCAGCCTACAGCGCTTCGGATAATTTACCATATGCGAAAACCGAATTCAAAAATTCTTTATTCTCGGATCTTGAAATAACTCATCCTATCGCCTTTGGTTCCGAAAACCTTTCTCGAAATAGCTGTGTGAATATATGAAAACATATATGTGAGGGTCTCGTGCATGTAAAGTTCAAATGCGAAAAAGTCGAAAATGAGTGGGAAATGTGCATGTAATGACTACATTTGTCTCGATACTTAAGTTCCAAGTATGGGTTTTAGTGCTTTTCAATAGCGCGCGCGGAATCGTCGTCGTGCCGTAATGGGTTTTGGTGGACGTCACACAAGGCGTTGTCACTGTCATGGAAACACTTCGATTGACGTCCACCAAAACCCTGTTTTGTCGCAATGGCAAAATACGATTAACGAATAACAAGGCATTTTTTGCCTTCATATGAAATTCGACATTTGATTTTAGTCTTAACGCGTTGATTACACGGAGCAATCACCGTTGCAACACAAGTTGTAAGAGTGTTTACGGCGGTGCAACGGAGACGAAGCAATCGTTGCTAAAAGTAGAAACGAAGTGGCAACGATTGCTGCAACTTGTCTCGCAACATTTCTGAAAACTGCGCTGTAGATTACACGCTGCAATCATACTCTATGCAACTTGTGTCTCAATGCCGTTGCGAGACAAGTTGCAGGGAAATTTGCTCCGTGTAATCGCGCCTTTAGTCTTGAAACGTAACTACAAGGAGCAATTTGTTTGCAACTTTTCTCGCTACAAGTGTTTACACGGTGCAACAGAGACGCATTGCTGCTACTAGCCTCCTCTCCGCAAGCTACCCCATATATTCTCTGTTGGGAGCCCTGTGTTAAGTTGTATGACAGAGAAGAACTAGGGACGAGAGAGAAGGAGGATTGGGTACGAGGGAGGGAGTAACAAACCCGAGAAGCAAAAGGAGGCTGTGCTGTTATGTCTCGCAACGTTTTTTCAACGAATTGAGTTTTAGGTTACACTGCAATGCTCCATGCAACTTGTGTCGCAACAGCGCTGCGAGACAAGTTGCAGAGAAAATTGCTCCGTGTAACCGCGCCTTTAGGTTCCCCCGCAGCCGTTTTTAGCTTCGTCACGCAACGCTTCCTCCGTGACAACACTAAGAACGGCTGAGGAGAGAGACCAGCGACCTGTGAGCCTTACTGGACTAAAATATAGCAAGATGAGGGGGAAATGTATTTCCCCCAATATTTATGTCTACATCCCCACGATAATATTCCGAAACCTATTCCTGAATCGCAAGTTTTACACTCATTCTCGCCATTAGCAAGATATCCAATCCTCGTGCTGAACCCGCCACACTTCATATTAAATCCTTGCCTGAAAGATGAATAAGCCAGATTAAGGCCCCGTCCACATGTATCCGGAAATTTGTGTATCCGCAAATTGTTTTTTGCGGATACGGGTTGCGTTCACACGTCTCCGGAAATTTTCGAAAACGGTCTCTAGAGTGGAAATTTTCGAATGCGCTCCGAATACGGATACGTGTGGACGGTCGTATCCGCAAATTTTCGAATACGCTGACGTAAACACGATTTTGCGCATGCTCAATATGAAAAACTATCCGTCAAAGGGACTAGGCACTAGCGTGCATCAGGACGGATCAAGAAATTTCCGGATACGTGTGGACAGTGAAACGATTCGAATACGCTGCGTGTGGACGCGAACATTTTCGTATCCGCAAAAAAAAAATTTGTGGATACAAAAATTTCCGGATACGTGTGGACGGGGCCTTTAAGTCGACTACATTGAATGAAATGATAGAAAAGTGAAGAATTTTATAAATTCTGTTTGACAAGGATCTGCATCACACTTGTTCTTAAATTTTGTTTAGTCTCTCCCTTGATTTAAGGACTTCAAGGGTTTTTCTCCTGCTTAAACTTTCCTGTTTTCCTCCTTCCTCAAATCCCAACACGCTAAATTCCGTGTCGTGACTTAGATACGCCCAGAGTATTCTCAGGGTTTGATCTGTGAGCTAGCCATGCCCTGACTTAGATAAGCMCAGAGGATTTTTCAGGGTTTGATCTGTGAGTTAGCCGTGCCTTGACTTAGATAAGCCCAGAGGATTTTTCAGGGTTTGATCTGTGAGTTAGCCATGTTGTGACTTTGATCACCCTAGAGGCTGCTTCGTACCCTGACTTTGATCAGCCAAGAGGTTAATAGCGCAGCGCAACCGTGACGTCATAAAAACGAAGACAAAGGCG